TGAACAGAGGTGAGTGATATGAACAGGGAGGAGGGGGCTGAACAGAGATGAGTGATATGAACAGGGGGGAGAGGGCTGAGAGATGAGTGATATGATCAGGGGGGAGGGGGCTGAACAGAGGTGAGTGATATGAACAGGGAGGAGGGGGCTGAACAGAGATGAGTGACATGCACAGGGGGGAGGGGGCTGAACAGAGATGAGTGATATGAACAGGGGGGAAGGGGCTGAACAGAGATGAGTGATATGAACAGGGGGGAGGGTGCTGAACAGAGATGAGTGTTATGCACAGGGGGGAGGGTGCTGAACAGAGATGAGTGAGGCGTGAAGCAAGAGTGAGGGCACTGAGCCGGGCATGGGAGAGAGAGCCGACCAGAGGAGACTGAGCGGAACAAGGGAGAGCGAGCGGATCAGGGAAGAGCGAGCGGAACATGGAAGAGCGATCGGAACAGGGGAGAGCAAGCGGAACAGCAGAGACGGGCGGGTCAAGGGCGGGCACGCATGAGCATGACAAAGAGCAGCTGGAAACATAAAAGAGGTAGAAGTCAGCCTACGTGACATGCACCTGGAGCAACGTCATCTGGAACCCAGCTTCCCTGAGGCACGACGGGAGGTGTTGCATGCAATCAGGAAATGCAGCATCGTACTTCTCCCACAGCTCCACCGCCAGGCGCTTGGCCCCAGGGCCGGGCTTGGCTACCATCGCAGTGGAGGTGCGGCTCATCGTCGGCGTCCTGGTAGACATGGCCTGCGCCTCCGTGAAGGGGGGCAGAAGACACACTCCCTTCATAAATGTATACACCACAGTCTGCCACCGCCTATGGACAGCTGCCAAACAACGATACGAACCACGGGCAGCACGCAACCACGGGGTAACGAGCGCTGGGAGAAGAGCATAAGAGGAAGACAAAGACCACATGGGGCGGGGGGGAGAGGGGCAGGCAGACGGGAGATGTGATGGCAGCCATAGGGAGACGCCTGGGGAATGATAAGGGAGGAGACGGGGACAGCGGGGTAACAGGCGCACGTGGGCGGGCAGAATGCGAGTTGAGGCAAAGGAGGGGGCCTGTGGATTGGTGGGATCAGGGTGTGAGCAGACTGGCGCAAGAGACGGAAGAAAAGAGGCACCTACGCACACGACGACTCCCTGCGAGGAGAAACGGGCATGGCAGGGATGTCTGAGATCGGGTAGGAGGGAGCCGGTCATGACGCACGCGTCTGGAGACATATAAACCCTGATGTCAGCATGGTGAAGCGTGTGTGCCGCCCAACATAAGATAAGGGAAAAAGATGAGCCAACCTAGGGGCCATGCCACTGCTGGTGCCCCCGGAGAGTGCTGCCACGCAGGAGTGAGGCGAGGGGAGGAGAGAGGATACGGGAGTGGCAGAGGCAGGTGTAGCCAGACATGAAGGAAAGATGGATGACGCACACCACATTACATGAAAAGGGCACGGGAGCGACAAAGACCGCCGGATAGGGACAGAGGTGAGGCCAGTGAGTACGGACTATGATGAGGGCCAACATCCAGCAAACGAAGCTGGGTGGTGCCTATGGATGCGTGGCCCCAGTCGAAGCCAAGGAATCAACGCGATGGTACTGCAAAGCACAAGTCAGTAGACGTCGCCCCAACAGGATCCGTCTGCACCATCTATCTGTGCCGATTTGCGGACATTTAGGGATGGAAAAAGGGCAAGGGCGACAAGACCCACCTCCTTCATGGCAGTGTAGTACTGGTCGTCAGTCTGCAGTGCGGACGGCAGGTCACTGAGCGCCAGACGCACCTCGTCCACAGCTAAAATGGTGCTGTTGATCTGGCGCCGGTTCGACAGTCGGTAGGGCCTCTTGACAAGGGACTGGTGGGAATGCTAAAAAAGATTGGTAGAATAATCCTCCGGGATGCCCCTGGTCTTAATGGCATACGGCAAGTGCGTGATGGCATGAATCTTCACAAGACGCCACTTAGACTTCTGCATGGGGCACATTCTCTTACAAAGAGCCAGGAGGCTGGATGAAAATACATGGGCAGGGGGGAAGAGCGGTGCTTATGAGATGCGTACTCGGGTCAGCCCGGAAGACACGAAACAACACGAGGGCAGGGCAGGGATGCGGGCAGGCAAGTAGTCGGGGTTACTTGGCGATCACCGGCTGGTCACATGCATGAAACAGGGATGCAGTGCCGGGAGAGACACGGTGAAACATCCACCTGCCGCAGATCCCGCACTCCGTTCCCAGCAGCAGCACACTATGCCAATCCTAACACCGGCAACGGGGGGGGGGGGAGGGGGGGAGGGCACGGCTGGCGACGGATTAAACTATGCAGAGGTCGGGAAATGGAGCAGGGAAGCTACGTAATAGTATAGTGAAGGGGACACCCATGGCACTGGGAGGGACGGGCATGAAAGGGTATGCCAGGGGTCGGCGGAGGGGATCAATGGGGCATTGATGGGAATTAACGGGGCATTCTAGGGGAGTAACGGGGAAGCCAAGGGTATGGTGTCAATGAGGGGTGAGGGGAGTTAGGGAGCAGTCAATGGGGAGTACCGAGTCAGCCAGGGGGACATCAAGGGCAGAGAGAAGGGAATCGACGGGACAGTCAAAGATTGGTCAGCACAAGGGAGAAAGGTCGTAACGGGGCAGTCAACCGCACATCAACGCCTGGAGAGAAGGGGACTACCAGAGCAAACGGGGGGCAGGCATGTAAGTGATCGCGGTCACGCCCACGCAAGGCAAAGCGGAAAAAGTTCTGGGAAGAATGGGTGGAAAAGACGGGGCAAGTAGGAACTGAAGCGCTGACACACGCAATACAAAGGGGAAAAGGCGGCAGAGGAGGTGGGAAACGGTGCATGGGAGGCTCGATGGACAAAAAACCGAGGCATCACTTACGTTTGGAATTTGCTAACGACCCGGGCCAGAGACTCGTCGGTGTGCGATGATACACGGAAGCACTCGCTATACCAGTCCAGGTACGCCTTTATGAGCTCCATCTCCGCAGGGTCAAGTATGCCTTCGAAGATATAGAGGCAAACCTGCATCATGGCCCTATGCTCCGCTGCAGCATAGTTTGCACCCCCTTGGAAGTATGTGCCCGGTTTCGGCAGTTTCAAGCCAGCAGCACGAGTAAGCTTGTACAGCATCCTGTGCTGCCTGCAGGTTATGTAGAGAGACACATGCATGGGCGCATGTGGAAGTTTTCTGGTTGCAGTCAACCTGTTGTGGAATCGAGGGATGCGAACATGGACACAAGGCCCACTCACAACCCACAATGACCCACGCCACTGGGGTGTCAAATGCCATGCATCGACTCACCGACTGTGTTACAGTGCTGCCCGGCATGATATGGTACCGACATCTACAGATGTTGTGGCAACCCAAAGGCAGGGTAGGGGAGCATGGGCAGGGATAGAAGGACACTGATACACGTGACATTCTACCTGTCCAATCTACGCAGACGACCGCGCTTGTGTTTTTGCCGCAGCTGGTCCAGAATGTGCTTCCAGACCCCGATGTCAACAGCATGAAGCACGCCGGGCGGAATGCACATGTAGGGGTTACCCCAATCGGTGTCGGCAAAGTTTCATTTCCAGAGACAGCACTGGTACAAGACACAAATAGAGGGTCATGTTGCATAAAAGTTACAACCACTTCCACACCTAGAGCATGATAGGTCGAATGGCAGCAGAGCACACAAGAGGAGGCTTGGGGGGGGGGGGGGGGGGGGGGAGAGCGAAGATATCCACATACCGGGACCGGGTGGGTGCCCTTTTTGGCAGCCCTGTCACTGTCACCGAGAAGAGCAGCCTGACTTTCCACTGTCTGCTTTGGGAAAGAGCGACCCATGACATCCAAGGACCGTCTCAGCACCTTGCACACTGAACAAGGCATCTCGGACTGCTGTTGCATTGTGCAGGTGACACGGCTGCCCTCGGGATAGTCACACGGATAGGCAAACATGAGGGGGTAGGCAACGTGGCTCTCACCAGACGGATCCCGCACCGTGGTGCTCCTGCACTGCACGGGAAATGAAGAACAGGCCAGGGTTGTGTCAATGCGAATCAACAAGATGCATGTTCAGGGAACCCCCTAGCTGTTAGAGGACCGTGGACGACTTACGAAAAAGAGGCGTCAAGGATCGGCTTGAAAACAATGTCCATACAACGCTGAAACAGAGCAGTCTTCACAGCTGCTGACACATCACTATCCGGCATTGGTAGCAGAGCAACAAGCGCCCGCGAGCTCATCCGCCACCTCTGTTCCCTCGGGATGTTGGCAAGGGTTATCTGCAACGGCCACACCTTCTGCCGACCATTATGACTGAGATGCGTAACATCGCTTGAGGCGATGAGGGCGGCAACAACGTCGTCTTTATTTGGGAGGCTCGCCTGCCAGACAGGTATGCGCAACAAGCATGAGAGACTAACCCGCACAACGAACAAAGACTTGCACTCCCAGGCTGAGCATTATACGTCCGGCAAACACCAATGCACCTCACCTGCGCAGCCTCCCACCAAAGTGCGCTTTCTGGTCGCCTGTACAGACGCCGCCCTTCAGCATCATACTCTGGCTCCGGCTTAAGCTTGAACCCCTCTCGATTCTCAGGGTCCCCAAACAGGGTGCGCATAGCCTGGTTTACACGCTCGCTATGTGTGAGTCACAGCCAGTTACCAGAGGCATGACATTTTTTAGCTGTAACATGCGACCACAAAGGTCACGCACCTCGAGGGTGTCGCAATATTCGAGCTCCACTGGTTCGCACATGCCGGGAACCTGAACCATTACCTTGCGCCACGTGCGAAGATGACCCCCCTGGACGCTGCAGCCGTACTTGTCAACGTCCCCGAGACCATGCCAGTCGGACACTGCAGCACGATCGAACCGTGGGTCGTTAATCAGGCGGAAGAAATCCTTGGCTTCTTGTTTTGACTAGCCGACGCCATTGTGCACGGACTTTATGAACCGGTATACTTCCTTCTTAGTGTCGAACTCGTTCAAAGTATCGGGGTTGAGCGGCTCCGATGGCAGGTGTGTGTCATCCCCCTCGGCAGCTGCTGGTGCACCATGCGGAACGCCTAGCGGTGCCTCGGCCGATAGCGGTGATGATACCCCTTCGCCCACTGGTGTAGGCCGCGGGGCAGCGTGCTTGTGTGCGTGAGATGGAGATCCATTAGGGCGCTCTGGACGAGTAGCAATCTCTGGAAGTGGGACGGGCTTATCCCTACATACTTCGTCGCGAGAGGAATGATTCCTCGCGGCGGAAGCGCGGTCAAATGGACGATCACAGCGTCCGCACGTAGCGACGCATGTAAAGACCACCGGGAGAATGAATGCGCTGAGGAACATAACGGATCTGCATACTCTCAAAAAAACGCCGGTACTTGATAATTTCTTATACACGGCCGCTTTTATGATGCGCTTGAAAGACGTGTACGTAGCCTAAACGAGAGTGCGTAAGTGTGGGTGATTTAGTGACGAATGTGGAGGTGATGCAGAGACAACTAATCCCCATGTGTGATGCCCAAGGCAGTGTGGTGAGGTGTCTCGCAGGGACATTCCCATTGGTGACCCCAGCTAGCTTGCACTGTGTTCGGAGAACGTTGTGACGTAAAAAATATTGCTTGCAGTATGAACTTCAACTAGAGGGACATTAAGCAACACCGGACAATTGACCGAAACTCGCGCTGTATTATTGTCCAGCGTCGGAGTCGTGCAATAATCCAGCGCGAGTGTCGGTCACTAATAATACAGCGACAATTGACCGACACTCGCGCCTGCGACCTCCGGGTTTGTTTCTTCGAGGCCGCGTTTATTTGTGCTGGGTCATACAAGGAGCCTGTCTGAAATTGGACAGGGTAACAGGACCGCACTGTGTCTTGGGAAGTATGACATGTAGCGCTCCACCCCCTGTGCGCAATACATACGAGACAATACTTGCCGCGCAACTGACTGAAATAGGGCCTTCAGAGCACCTCCTGACCCCGTGAGACTCTCGAGGTCGGAGGGTTGGAAACCACCACCGCCACACCCAGACACTCACGTGGCCTGTAATTCACCGACAGCATCTCGCAACTTACGAAAACCATTGGTTCCACTGGCTTGGGTAGGCAGCAATGCAGTCATCATCCCCACGGAAGTGCCTAGTGTAGACTAGATAGGCGAACTCAGATGGTGTCATGGTAACACGTGAAGCCACGCTTCTGTTCGGGCTACGCGCATCTATTCCAAACATGTGTGTCCTCGTTCCTATCAATTTGAGGAGTTTGCAGCTCGTTGCGTATAGAACAAGGCATGGCCTTGCAGCACGCGCAGGCGACTTTCTCCACTGCCATCTCGGCCGTATATGTATTCCCCTCACCCGTTCACTCTGTATGGCTCCATTTGCAGTTTAGTTTGAACGGCATATCACAACCATCCTGTAAGGTCATGGAACCCGCGATGCCTGAGTCAACCGAGTCCGCAGTGCCCTTCGACGAGACGCAGCCGGTGGATATTGGCGAGGAAGCCGAGGTAATCTCTACCACGCCGACTTCACAGGTCAGTGGTGGCCACTTATCGAATCATTTTCTAGATTGCTTGCGCATGTTTGGCATGCGACTGACACCCGAAATGTGGCAGGAGCGGAGGAGGCTCAAACGGTCAGGTGAGCTCCGCGCATACAAGGGAGGGTTACATGACAGCGTAGACCCAGTCGCGGGACTGAGTGGGCATGCGGCACGTAAGAGGCGCCAGCGGGGAGCAGCTGAGGACGCCGAATGGCAGGCGAGGGTCATGGCGCCCTTGAGCCCTACTCAACACCGGCAGCGCGACGGGGAGAATGTACCGGGTGAGGGGTGCTGCATGTGTCTGGTTTCCGCACCTTGGAACATTATGTGCAATCTGCTATGTAGTAACACTGTTGTGTACCTCTTGTGCAGATACCAGCGTTGCAAAGGATCCTTACGGCCGTGTGGACGCGTGGTTTGCTTTGACTGCAGAAATGCTGCCAACCTTGGAGAGAGAGAAGCTCCGCCGGTTGTTCCGTTATTTGTTTGAATGAGTGCAAGCTTCTCATGACGACCAGTGCTGTCGATAGTGTGTTTGGGTTCTTTTCTCAATTGCTGATGCCTAGAGTGAATGAGATCAGTACATAGGTCTTTAGTGGATTTCTGATTACTGTGACCCGTGGCCCCGGTTTAGAGCTGTGCTGCAAATGGGGTTTTTACAAACACAGCTAGTAAACACAGTTACCTGTACTCCGTGTTGATCGTTGCGCAGCAGCTAGCTCAAATAGCGCGCAAGATACTGGACTAGGTGGTGCAGGCGTCAGCAAGTGTTCGCGTGAATGTCCAAGTGTAGGCACAACGCCTGTGTCACTGGCGTTTGAACACCACCCTGGACCATTCTAAGGATTTTTGAAACACGCAGTACCTTTTCCAACCTGTTCGGAAAGACTTCGCCAAAAGTCACACGCACTCAGCTGTTTCCAGAGTGCGTTCAGATTCGAGTATCGCTCCCATGTACCCTTTTTTTCTCGGGTATGTACGTGGGAAGCACTTTTGAAGGCGACTTCATGCGCTGCTAAAGGAGACGCTTAACTCATTTTGAGGTGTGCATATCTACCCTTGAATTCCAGAATCTTGGGACGGATACTCCAACTTCGAGCAGGCAACAAGAGAACCTAATCAAAGAGCTGGGAACGAAAGGAAGGGGTGGTCATAACCCTGCCAGGAACACGCTCAAAATGCATTGGAGTCGGCTGTGCTGCGGGCGGAGCAGTGGCCAGGCCTGACCGCCAGCGAGAGCACAGCGCAGCTTCCTCCATTATCGTGCATCAGCGGCGGTGCACCGATGTAACATTCCGTGGCGTTTGTCGGCGCTGTCGTTTCGCCACAGTTTCGGTGCCCGTCAAGGATAGGCTTTCGCAACTAATCCTAGTAGTGCTCCGCTACGCCGAGCGTAAATGGGATTTCGCACCGAGCACCGTGTCGAAAACCTATCGCACATCTGTTCGTCCCCTCGCTCACAAGGGAATGCTTTGAAAGTCAGAGCAATGCGACTCGCAGCTTGATAAGGCATGGAAACACTAGAGTACTATTGGGCAATCGCATGGTTTTGGCGCGTTATCAATCAACTGAAACGGGTTCTTTATTCCCATCACTCGTGTTTAGAATCTTTGGACGAGTGGTGGGGGTTATAGCGCGGCAAGGCGCCATAACTTGTAATGTGGGTGGATCATGGATAACGAGTACAGCGAACTGCTGGGAAGCGGCGGAGAACATATTCCCAGTGGCCGAATTCGGTTCCCTAGCCAGCGCTAGGAGGAGGAGGAGGAGGAGGAGGAGGAGGAGGAGGAGGAGGAGGAGGAGGAGGAGGAGGAGGAGGAGGAGGAGGAGGAGGAGGAGGAGGAGGAGGAGGAGGAGGAGGAGGAGGTGGTGGAGGAGGAGGGGGTGGGGGAGGAGGATAATAGAGAAGGTTGACCTGTTTCCTTTCCACATCCCCACCTTAGCAACCTCACCATGATCCTCGAATGGGTTGATGGGTGCTTTTTAAGATCGACTAGGACGCAACCATGCGTGAGGCAACAACATATCCGATGTGACACTCTTTGTTGCTTCGCACATGAAGCCAACTTGGTGGCCCTTGTTCTTCCCGTGGCAGGGATTAATGGACACGATGGGGGGGACGACACGGGGCAGACGCCTGGCGCGCTGGGCGCAGGCAGCCATCCCGTCCCACTGGCCATGCTGCAGGGAAGAATAGTGGCGCGTCGCTTGCTGGAGGAGGTGAGCTGTTCTAGGCATGCAGCTCTGGTTGTAGCATGCCCCCTGCTCTTCTGCATATTGCATACGACAGGACGATATCATGGTGGCCATACCATGCTGGTTAGCGACCTTCCCCCTATCATGTTGCATTCACCTCCGTTGTGCGATTCTTCCGGTCTGGCTAACACACACCCTACTTTTGGACCAGGGCGTGGTCAGGGGAGGGGACATGGAACAGGCTGGGGAGGAACGGGTCTTGGCTCCAACGTTGCTGCTGCTGCCCACATCGTTGAAGGGGAATCCAGTCGTGAGCATGTCACTTTTCCTCCTCTGCCGTCCGCCCCCCCTCCCCCCTCCCCCCCCTTACTAATTTACGCCTCTCCTTGCTGTAATCAGCACCCTTATTGGGCTGCTATGTCTTTCCCAGGCCCTTGGTTGCAAGCCCTCTGTTGTTTGTTCGTGGGGTCGTGACCGTATTATATTGAGGCTAATCATTCTGTTTCGGTATATCGCCACTGAAGCCGAAGCATTAGTGCCTTCATTGTGTATCGCAACCTCCCTTCCGACAGAGCGAAGACTCCGTCTCAACCAGCTAGGGGGTGCCCCTACGGGCCAGCCGGGAGCTGCGGGGTGCAAACCAGGCGTGCTCAACTTCCCGTGGAGTGGTGGCGGGCAGGCTGACTTCTCATCCGCCATGCGGATGGTGCTTGGCCAATCGAGCGAGATGCAGCGTTTGGTGTCAGAGTCCACGCAGGCCACGAAGGAACTCACCATGGTGGTCAGACAGCTCGTTCGGCTGCATAAGAGTCAGGGCGAACAGTTGGCTGCTGTGCAAGAGACCTTAGCCGCCAACGCTCATCCCAACCAGCCAGTAGCCACCACTCCGGCGCCTGTTGTCGGTCCTAGTGCTCTGGAGGACAATTCCTGGGAGTCGGAACTTAGGCGTGCTGCCAATTCGATTCCAAGCGCCAAGAGCCTGTCGGTAGGCGCGTGTATCACTAGTTAGCAGGGTGAACAGGTGTGTTTTAGAGTAGGGCTGGTGATGTTGCTAGTGTGTTGTCGCATGCACGCACTCTGATTGCTGGGCATGCTGTCCTTAGTGTGATGCGTTGTTGGGTTGTAGCCATGGTGCTGCACTGGGGACCAGTCTTGACACTGGTCGTCCTCTTGATCCTGCGTTCCTCTCTGTGTCGTCAATCTCCACCCCTGTGTACCTGTCCTGTTTCTGTCCCTGGGTTCTCATGGGTGTTCTGATTTTGTCCCCACAGAAGCCATGGGTGGCTGTCTATTACAGGTGCATCTTCTCTCCAATTAAGGGGAATGATGCAGAGCTGAGCATGTGGCCCTTGCCTAAGGTGGTCGCTTACTGGACAGTTTCTCTACAGAAGGTCATGCAACACCATGAGGCGAATCTGGCTCTCGTGCTCAGCAATGCGACCGATCACCAGACACAATGGTCATCTGTGAGCGGCCGCCTTCGCGGGGCAATAACACGGCTCGGCAAGACGCTCTTGTACCGCTACATGGGTATTCCACGTGTTGTGCGGGACATACCAGACGGGGTTCCATGGGAGGAAGTCGTGGGTGCTAAAGATCGCACCCCGCAGACAGCGTGCAAGGACTTTCCCCCTGGTATGTAGTGCTGGACCATGGGTTCCGCGTGTGGTGCCAAACCTGGTCCATGCCACTCACATATTTTGTGCACAAGTGCAGCATCTGCCCCTCTTCCAACTCAACCCCCCTCTCCTCCCCTCCCACATCCTCCCCACCCCCCCAAGCCACACCTAAGTCAGGACCGTTCGGCTCACTGACTTGGCACTGTGACGAGAAGGGTATGCCGTTTGCCCTGGAGGTGTTCGAGGTGTTTATGGCCGTCGCATACGCCCGCCATCTAACGGGCACTGTGCTGGTGGTGTATCCGTACAACATCGCGTTTGCATTGTATGGGGTGAGTGGATATGCGGGGGATGGCTACAATAAGGGGCGGGGGTGCATATGAAAGGTGCCGACATGGTTGCAGCGTGGTGCCTCAATGGAGGCAAGCTGAACCGGGGAGAGGGTAATAGACTACATGGATGTGCACTGGAAGGGAGGCGTGCACGGGCACGGTGAGGCAAGGGCACGGTCGACATGGTGAGGGCAGGGACGGGCATGCAGGCCCATTCAATGGCATAGCTATGGCAGTGGTGGTGTTTCATGGGCCGGGCAGGTTCTCTGCAGAGGCAGGGTCGGGCAGGCAAGGGCAGGGTCGGGCAGGCAAGGGCAGGGACGGGCGCGCAAGGGCAGAGACGGGCGCGCAAGGGAAACGACGGGCAGGCAAGGGCAAGGACGGGCAGGCAAGGGCAAGGACGGGCAGGCAAGGGCAGGGACGGGCGGGCAAGAGCAAAGATGGGCAGGCAAAGGCAGGGACTGGCGGGCAAGGGCAGGGACGGGCAGGCAACGGCAGGGACGGGCAGGCAAGGGCAGAGACGGGCGCGCAAGGGAAACGACGGGCAGGCAAGGGCAGAGAAGGGCAGGCAAGGGCAGGGACGGGCAGGCAAGGGCAAGGACGAGCGGGCAAGAGCAAAGACGGGCAGGCAAGGGCAGGGACGGGCGGGCAAGGGCAGAGACGGGCAGGCAAGGGCGGACAAGGGCAGAGATGGGCAGGCAAGGGCAGGGACGGGCGGGCAAGGGCAGAGACGGGCAGGGAAGGGCGGACAAGGGCAGAGACGAGCAGGCTAGGGCAGAGACAGGCAGGCAAGGGCAGGGACTGGCGGGCAAGGGCAGAGAAGGGCAGGCAAGGGCAGGGACGGGCGGGCAAGGGCAGAGACGGGCAGGCAAGGGCATAGATGGGCAGGCAAGGGCAGGGACAAGCAGGCAAGGGCAGAGACGGGAAGGCTAGGGCATGGACGGGCAGGCAAGGGAGACGACGGGCGGGCAAGGGTAGAGACGGGCAGGCAAGGGCGGACAAGGGCATAGACAGGCAGGCAAGGGCAGGGACGGGCGGGCAAGGGCAGGGACGGGCACGCAAGGGCAGGGACGGGCAGGCAAGGGCAGAGACGGGCGCGCAAGGGAAACGACGGGCGGGCAAGGGCAGAGAAGGGCCGGCAAGGGCAGGGACGGGCAGGCAAGGGCAAGGTCGGGCGGGCAAGAGCAAAGACGAGCAGGCAAGGGCAGGGACGGGCGGGCAAGGGCAGAGACGGGCGGGCAAGAGCAAAGATGGGCAGGCAAGGGCAGGGACGGGCGGGCAAGGGCAGAGACGGGCAGGGAAGGGAGGACAAGGGCAGAGACGGGCAGGCTAGGGCAGAGACAGGCAGGCAAGGGCAGGGACAGGCGGGCAAGGGCAGAGAAGGGCAGGCAAGGGCAGGGACGGGCGGGCAAGGGCAGAGACGGGCAGGCAAGGGCATAGACGGGCAGGCAAGGGCAGGGACAAGCAGGCAAGGGCAGAGACGGGCAGGCTAGGGGATGGACGGGCAGGAAAGGGAGACGACGGGCGGGCAAGGGAAGAGACGGGCAGGCAACGGCGGACAAGGGCATAGACGGGCAGGCAAGGGCAGGGACGGGCGGGCAAGGGCAGGGACGGGCAGGCAAGGGCAGGGACGGGCAGGCAAGGGCAGAGACGGGCGCGTAAGGGAAACGACGGGCGGGCAAGGGCAAGGACGGGCAGGCAAGGGCAGGGACGGGCGGGCAAGGGCAGGGACGGGCAGGCAAGGGCAGGGACGGGCAGGCAAGGGCAGAGACGGGCAGGCAAGGGAAAAGACGGGCAGGCAAGGGCAGAGAAGGGCAGGCAAGGGCAGGGACGGGCAGGCAAGGGCAAGGAAGGCGGGCAAGAGCAAAGACGGGCAGGCAAGGGCAGGGACGGGCGGGCAAGGGCAGAGACGGGCAGGCAAGGGCGGACAAGGGCAGAGATGGGCAGGCAAGGGCACGGACGGGAGGGCAAGGGCAGAGACGGGCAGGGAAGGGCGGACAAGGGCAGAGACGGGCAGGCTAGGGCAGAGACGGGCAGGCTAGGGCAGAGACGGGCAGGCAAGGGCAGGGACTGGCGGGCAAGGGCAGAGAAGGGCAGGCAAGGGCAGGGACGGGCGGTCAAGGGCAGAGACGGGCAGGCAAGGGCAGAGACGGGCAGGCAAGGGCAGGGACGGGCGGGCAAGGGCAGGGACAAGCAGGCAAGGGCAGAGACGGGCAGGCTAGGGCATGGACGGGCAGGCAAGGGAGATGACGGGCGGGCAAGGGCAGAGACGGGCAGGCAAGGGCGGACAAGGGCATAGACGGGCAGGCAAGGGCAGGGACGGGCGGGCAAGGGCAGGGACGGGCAGGCAAGGGCAGGGACGGGCAGGAAAGGGCAGAGACGGGCGCGCAAGGGAGACAACGGGCGGGTAAGGGCAAGGACGGGCAGGCAAGGGCAAGGACAGGCAGGCAAGGGCAGGGACGGGCGGGCAAGAGCAAAGATGGGCAGGCAAAGGCAGGGACGGGCGGGCAAGGGCAGGGACGGGCAGGCAAGGGCAGGGACGGGCAGGGAAGGGCGGACAAGGGCAGAGACGGGCAGGCTAGGGCAGAGACAAGCAGGCAAGGTCAGGGATTGGCGGGCAAGGGCAGAGAAGGGCAGGCAAGGGCAGGGATGGGCGGGCAAGGGCAGAGACGGGAAGGCAAGGGCAGAGACAGGCAGGCAAAGGCAGGGAAAAGCAGGCAAGGGCAGAGACGGGCAGGCTAGGGCATGGACGGGCAGGCAAGGGAGACGACGGGCGGGCAAGGTCAGAGACGGGCAGGCAAGGGCAGGGACGGGCAGGCAA